GCGGACCCCAGCCCCCTCCCACCCACCGGGGGCCACGCGATCCCGAGCGCTCCGAGACCCCCTGCGGGGAGGACCCGCGAGGAGAGGGCGGCGGGGCGGCCGCGAGTGGCCGGGCTTGGGGTGCAGGTGGCGGGCAGAGGCTCCAGCTCGGGCACGGGGCGCGGTGTCACCGCCAGCCCGACCTCCGATCGAGGCCCGGCTGCCTCGATCCCCCGCGCCAGCTGCGGTGCAGCGCCCGAGCCGGAGCCGGAGCGTACCCAGGCGGAGGACGAGCCCTCTGCCCTTCGCCAGCGGGCAACACCGGCGTCTGGCGGCGCCCCAGGCTGGCCCGGGGCCCAGTGGTCATCTCTCCTCCACCCCCGGGCTGCGTGTTGTTTTCTGTGTTTTGAAATAGTTGGAGAAGTGTGCGACGCCCTCCCCGCGCCTCTGCCAGAGTTCCCCCGCGCCCATCGGGAAGGTGGAGGGGACGGGGGCATGTCAAGGACAAGTCCGAGTCTCACTCAGCCACCTTGGCATCCCCTCCCAGAGCCAGCTTAGCACTGACCTCCATCCACACGGGCTGATATTAAATTCCTGAACCGACCCTGGCAAAGGAGCCCTGAGCCTTTCTGCTTCCTGCCTCCCACTCTCCACCCGCTGCCCCGGACCACACCAGGTGTGTGGTTATTATTGGGATTCGGTGAGGGAGGCTCTCTTAATACCAAATTTCCTCTCCATCCGTCCTGCTCTCCATCCCATCCAAAAAGTCCATCCTTCCAGCACCTGCCTCGCTTTTTACAGAGCAGGGGACGCGAGTTAACCTTCTGCGTGTATTTTGCCACAGGAAAGTGGAACTCTGCCCGTGGGTAGTTTGGTAGCTACTGTTGGCTTGGCTCTTACTTACTATAGTCCTTCCAACTCCAAAACATATGTTTGCTTAGATCTTTTTTTTCTTTTAAATTGATCTGATACCAGGCATCAGTGGCTCATGCTTGTAATCCCAGCTACTCAAAGAGGCTGAGATCTGAAGATGGCTCTTGGAAGCTGGCCAAGCAAAGTCCAGGAGACTTTTCTCTCCAGTTAACCAGCCAAAAGCCAGAGGTGGAGCTATGGCTCAAGTGCTGCTAGTTTTGAGGGGGGAAAGCTCAAGAACAGTGCCCAAGCCCTGGGTGCAATCCTCAGTACCAACACATAGGTGCACACACAGCTGGGTGGAGAGGGAGAAGACAGTAATGTGATTTCCTGGTAGGTCTCTTTGAATGATACCTAATTGCCTTTTCTTCCCTCAACAAGTTATGTCCCTGAAAAGCCAGTGGAATACTCACCATGGGAGTTTGGGTAAGCATAATGGATCGTTTCAAACCTCAGCCTTGCAAGTGGGCCTTGGCTACATTGAACAAGCAAACAGTGGGGAAAGAAGCAATACCAGATTGCTTGCAAGTGACTTGGGAATCACAGAATTCTTGTTGAAAGGACTTGGGAGTTGTAACTTCCTGTCAAATACAGCAGTCCTTTCCAGAACTTGCTGACAAGTAGACTTCCATCTATTCCTTGAAAACTAATCAGGGGCAAAGTCCAGCTAGGAAGCCAGCATACTTCATCTCTAGGAAGTCCAAACTCTCTGAAAAAATGTTCCCTTCCACTGAGCCAGAAGTTTCCTATAGGTTAGAAAGCCACTTCATCTAGCTGGGATACTGTGTCTACCTCCAAATTGATTTGATTGGAAGGTAATAGCTGTGGACTCCAGCAGACCTGGGTTCAAAATCCTGTCATTTATTTGCTTCTTGTCTTTAAAGGATGTGAAGGATTACTTTCTCCCCTCTTCCTCTTCAAATGCTGACATGGAGGGAGAGGTCAGGAAGCACTGACTCCAGGTAGCATTTATTGAGGAAGATGTAAATGAATTAGTATAGAGGATGAACTCCTCAGTTCACCTTTTTGTTTTGCTAAACTCTGGGCCTGGGTGTTGTCTCTCAGCTCTTCAGCTCAAGGCTAGCACCCTACCACTTGAGCCGCAGCACCACTTCCAGCTTTTTTCTGCTTATGTGGTGCTGAGGAATCGAACCCAGGGCCTCATGCATGCAAGGAAAGCACTCTACCACTGAGCCACCTTCCCAGCCCCCTCAGTTCATATTTTATTCGGTGTGTTTTCCCCTGCTTCATCTGAGGAGTGTGTGTGTGTGTGTGTGTGTGTGTGTGTGTCTGTCTGTCTGTCTGTCTGTCTATCTGTGTCTGTCCCTGGCCTAGGGCTTTAAGGTAGAGCCTGGGCACTGCCCATGAGCTTTTATACTCAAGGCTAGCATTCTACTACTTGAGCCACAGCTCCATTTCAGGTTTTGGGGGGATTCATTGGAGATAAGAGTATCACTGTCTTTCTTTCACTGCTGACTTCAAATCACAATCCTCAGATCTCAGCCTCCTGAGTAGCTAGGATTACAGGCAGGCATGAGCCACCCTGCTTGCTCAGCTCATCTGAGCAATCTTAAAACCCATTAATAAAGCTAAACTTAGGAGAGGTCACAGTGAAAGGAAGAGAAACAGCTTGCTGTTTTGGCCTGACAACTAGGAAGCCATTTCAGAGTCAGGGCCAAAGCCCAGGCTATTGCTAGTTTGCATTTGCCTGGGGAACTCACAGAATGGAGATAGAAAACATGGAGACAGGACTTAGAGATTGAAACTTCTTCAATACCCATGAATCACTGCTAACCTCTCTGAATATAATATAATATAATCTCTGAATATAATATAATATAAGGAGATGGCAATTCAAGTTCACAAACTTGTAAGTATTAGAACTTTTATTTCAGGTGCTAGACACCGAGAAAATGTCTAATGTCTACACATACAAAGAAAATTATCAGAGTTCTGCTTTTCTAGAATAGACCATCATTCTTCTTACCATTTTTCAGTTTTTGTGCCATGTACTAGAATTGTTTCTCTGATTAAACACAAACATAAACTGTAGCTCATAGAACTAACAACAATATCTCTGTATAGATTGTAATGGAGAAATGTTGGCCATATTTCAAATGTCATGTTCTCATTGTAACCATATAACATTGTACATCTAATAGATGGACTTTATACAATAAGCACAAAGTAACCTAAAAATTCATCAACTTCAGTGGTACTCACTAAACACTATGTTGAAAGTGAACTATACGGCTTGTGGGTAGAGACTAGGAGCGAGCCAGGGAAGGGGTGACATTGTCCAAAAATAAAGGTACTCATGACCCATATGCAAGTATAACTTCCTTTGTACAACTCCTTTATAATAATAAAATCAAAATTCAAAAACTGCATCAGTGGACTTGACAAAACTCCTCACATCCTTTAAAGCCCTGTTCAAACTGTGAAATTTCCTCAAAATTCTGCTCTCAAAATACATGCTAGTACACACTGAAATAGGGAATTCGGGTCTGGCTTTGACCCGTCTTGGCCACATAGTGGATGGTGGAGTCTGGCATCTTGTCTTTATGGTGGGGGAAGATGAAGCATGGCTGAATCCCTGGAGGCTGGGCTGTGCACTTTGGCTGATAGATTACTAAACCTGTCAGTCCAGTGCGTGGGAATGGGAGTTTCCAGTGACCCTCCCCCTAACCTGACCCTATTTTGGCTGGGACCACTTCAGGCAGCTTTATGCCATGGCACATGTCTCCATGTATGTGTCCTGTCTCCCGTCCCCTGTCTCTTCCCTGGTCACTAAGGCTTCTCAATTCAGCTCTCTGTTGGAGCTGAACTGGTTTGTTGGTATTAGTTTTGTTCTTTCTTTCCTCTCCGGCCATCATGGTCCAGTTTCCTAACAGTGTTAAGTATATTTGCTGGCTGCTGATTGTTGAGACAAGAGTCCACCATACAGTCACCGGCCTTTTAATAAAGACTCCAAGATTCTGCCTCTCAAAATGTGGCTTCTCCATTTTTTTCACCTTACAACATATGGATACAGTTTCACAACAATCACATTGTTCCAGAGTTCTCTTCATTGTAACTCTTTAGATAGAAACAACTGTGCATCCCAGTGGTTGACCCTAAAGTGAATGGCCACAGTCATTGAAGAGTGACATTTTCTGGCAAAATGTTAATGACCCCTTGACTTATTTGGGGGAGGAAAAGTGTCAATGTTGGGGCTTAAACGCAGGCCTGAGCACTGTCTCTGAGCTCTTTTTGCTTAAGGCTAGTGTTCTACTACTTGAGCCATAGCTCCACTTCTGGTTTTTGAGTGGTTAATTGGAGATCCGAGTTTTACAGGGACTTTTCTACCTTGGCTGGCTTCAAACCAACATCCTGAGATTCTCAGCCTCCTGAATAGCTAGGATTATAGGCATGTGTTACCCTTGAATTATTGGCTGCACCCTTGTCTTTTGAAAGTTTTATGGTATCATATCTACAAAAACAAACAACAATAAATAAAACATACAAATCAGCAGTCTGCAAGCTGGATATGCAATCCAGATACATTGTATTTAGGACAAAATCATTTTAGAACCAGAATTTCAAGCATGGCTTAAGAACAAATCAGCAGCTTATCTAAAAATTTCTAGATCACTAACTTTTGTTGCGTTACAAAGCTTTGGGCTGCACATAAAATAACCCTCAATTCAAATCCAGAGTTTTAATTTTTTTTTAGTTCTTACTGTAAAACCCAAGCTGATCTCAAACTCAGACACTTCAATGCAGCCTAAACTAGCCTTGAACCCCGGATCCTCCTGCCTCTGCTTCCCAAGTGCTACAATTACAAGTCTATGCTTTCATGTCAGGCTCAAAATCAGATACTTTAAATGACTTATATGCTTTTATACCACAAAGAATACCAAGTTTCACTGGTGTGGTGGCTTTAGTATCTAAGTATGCTAATGCAATCTTGATACTTGTTTCATTTTTTCAGATGTAGATATTGTACGTGACAAAGAAGTTCTCTGTCACTTTTTGTTTGTTCATTTGTTCACTGTCGTGGAGACAGTATCATGCTACCCTGTGGAGGCTGGCCTGGAACTCATCATCCTTCTGCCTACATTTTCTGAGTACCTGGATTACAGGTATGTACTGCCATACCTAGCTGAACTGATGCCCTCCCCTCCCCCTGCTCTGTATTTGACTATCTTAATGTTGGCTTCATCTTCAAACTGCCAGGAACAACATCACTCACAAATAAAACCCTTGTTTAGAGGAAGAAAAGAAAGTTGTTCTTTTGTCTGTCTTTTCTTTTTTAGGAGCAAACAACAACAACAAATCTTTTTTCAGAATCATCCTAGATTTCCTTCCAAAGTGTGTGGGTCCAAAATGGAGTCCCGTGCTTCTTCATAAAAAAAATTCACTCTCAGAGAAAACAGATTGCTCTGATTAGTCTGGATTCGCTCCTGAGGGTGTGACAGATTCTTGGAAAGAAACCAATTTATGTGTGCTACATCTTGAAAAATCACCAGCCCTGGCAACATGATAAACTACATTCTATATGACACAGTATCGTGACTGTTTCCACCCTTAGCCCTGGAAGAGT